ATGATAAGAAAGAAGTTGGTCATTGGAAAGCTATGTACTCTGTTGTTAGAGATTTGGAAGTTCTTAAAAGGGTAAGGTATACATGTACATGTACATGTACACACATACATAATATATATTTTGGTTGATTAGAGTTGTTGTATTTATGTTTTTGTAGTATTTAGAGAGCAAGCATACGTCAGTTGAATATGATGATATTGCTGACTATTTTAAGTTTAATCAACCAAATGGAACACTCAAATTGACTCTACAAAAAACTCAACTGCAGTTAGGATGGACTGTTAATCCTGATAGAGAACCAATGGAAGTATGTGTCCATATAAAGTCAAATCATGCAATATTACTGTGTGTCTTTATTGTAGTTATGTCAGTCTACAATTGAGCATTTTTCATCATGTCCCTCTCCTTCATATGCAACATGTAGTATATCAGTGTATGCTAAACCTGGTATTGCTCAGGATCCACTTCATTGTCCTATTAAATTAACTGGAATAGATCCTTCAAAAATTGTCTACATCAACAAATCACCTCCTGCTCTTCCTCCATCAATGAGTAAGTCAATGATAATTAAAATTAATTTTATTATACCTCATTTTACAGGTTCTACTACCTCCTCCTCCTCTAATGTAGTACATGAATCAACGTCAGTGTCATCCACTGGAGGAGCTAGTAAGTGATAATACTGTGTGTATATACTAACCTTTGACCTCTATTAGGTCCATCAGCTACTGTTGATGTCAATAATGTAAAGAAAGTGATCAATGAAGTTCTTGTATCTCATTATGCTGCACTCAATTCTTTGCCTAAAAAGTCTCTTACTGGTCTTATCAATCAGTTGTACACAGCTAAGCTTATTAGTAATGAAGTTAAAGAAGCTCCTTCAATGAAGGAATGCATCGATGAGTTCAAGGCTAGTCTTAGTTTTAAAAGGAAGATGCCTAAAGTGCAGGAGCACTGTCAAAAGTTCTTAAGCTCATTCATTGCTGCAAGAGGCAGTTATGCTGATGCAGCAGAAGCTTTAGGTGAGGACTGGATTGAAGCTATTAGGAATGAACTGGGACTTGATTTTAATATTAACATTGATGCTTGATATAATTGATTTACTTCGTTATTATTGCTTGTTTTAAATAATTTTTTTTTAAATATTAATTTGCGAAGAGTTCAACAATAATATTATTAATTCCGAAGACAAACTAAACACACATGATGATAGTGTACATGTGTTCTAGTACTTGGGATTCTTTTGAGAGTGGAAATAACATCATCTGTATCTTGATATCAAGTGATCTTGAACAATCCTTGCTCTCATGTAATAGATCACTAATAATAATAATAATAACAATAATTAACAATAATAATCAGCGTACATGTACATGTATAATTAGGAGTGATGTACATGTATATGTACATGTA